CTCGAGGAGCGCGAAGAGTCCAAAGCGGGCCATATTAAGGTGATTTCCGGCAAGACAGGTAAAGTCATACGCACGATACCAACACCATTCAAAGAGGAAGTCTTTGTGCCTGTGCAGATGCTAACTAAAGAGGATGGCACTGAGTTACTTATGATCATTACCGGTGGTCAAAATACACCTGGTGGCATCTATACCATACGCTTACTTTCCCTTATGCAATTTACGAGTGAAAAGGAGTTTACACCACTCTTYCAAAGTAARCAYTCTGGCGTAATGGTGCCCGCAGTGATTACCGATGTAACGGGCGATCATATTGCGGATATTGTGGCAGCATCTTTCAACTCGTCAGTGTATGCCTTCGATGGGCGTAATTTCAGCATATTGTGGAATTACACATTTYCGGCAAGTGAGAGTGTTAGCGCAATTGTGCCGGGACATTTCAATAATGACAATGTGACCGATTTTATGGTGAAATATAATACTGGACCGGGATTTCCAGTGTATTATTATTCGCAGACCACCATACTGGATGGTAAAACGGGTAAGCCCTTGTTGGACACAATGATGACTGATTCCGGCGGTTCGAATAGCTTGCTGGGTGGTGTCTCGGTATCGCAGAACTACGGTGGCGACTTCTTTTTGCACTGGCAAATGCAATGTAGGGATAAGTATAACGCGAAAGATGCTTATGAATTTATACCAGGTGAGCGCTACATAAATACTATGGTGAAGATTTGTATTTTACATGTTCCAATCCCATTTGCAGACAGCGATATCATTTTGCAATCACGCGCAGATACTTGTCGTCTGCGTTACAACACTTCGACTGTGCTGAAACTTTACGCAATTGCACGYCATATCGAACCACCAGGAGCCGTAATTTTTAGCACAGGTTAGTAACTTATTACATACATACATCTATGGCCAGCGCTTCATAAAATCATGTACCGCGAATGTTGTTCCTTTCATTTCCCGTTTAAGACGACATTGAAGTGCACCTCAACCGCACACAACGCCCACAATACGCCAAACAGAATTCGAAGTCCCCGCTAAAGCATCCTAAACTGCTCAAGAAACTGTTAGCTAATCGAGAGGAGCTGCTAAAGAAAATCGCYGTCAACGCTGACTTGGAAAAGCTAGAAAAGGTAACGAAACATCAAAATCAGCCACATTACAAGGAAAATGCGCTGAGAAATCCGATGTTCGATCAGGAGATACTGCAGGARATACTACCAAATAATGAATTACCCGCCGAAAACGTATATGAGCCCGTCAAACAAACTAGCTACACTAACTACTACGGTGGTGGTTATGCCGCCAATGGCAACGAASCAATGCGTGAGWCGGTAGGTTWCCTTTCACTTCAATCATTTCACTTCAATCGGTACAAAYTTATTGTATTTATTTWAGCAAAAAGACTACGAGTCCGTGTTGGGCGCACGTGTACCCGAAGAATACGACACGCTCTACGCTGACAACGAAGTGCCGCAGTTGGTGCCACAGAATGAGCATCCCATACGCTTGCGCACGAAATATCCCGGCAATCGSGATGTACGCAGYGACATAACATCCTTTGAGGATGAGCAGAATACTACGCAAACCGTACCCACCGGTGGTGTGCCGCAAAATAACTTAGATAAACAGGAGCCACTTAGCTTATGGGATCTGGAAATGGAGAAGGAGGAGCGTGATGCTATTAAAGAGTCACACAAATACGATTATTCGACAAATCAAGATGATACAAACAAAAAGAGTAAACGTAGCCGTCTAAGACGTGATGACAGCACACAAACGAGAGTCACGGACGATACGGATGCGACTTCTACTAGTCCATCAACTAACGATGAGTCCGATGAATGGTTCCTATCCTCAATCTCATCTACGGGCGTGTTGTTGAAAACGTTAAATGACACACGCTCTTCGGTGGATTTTGCTTTCGTGTTAAATATACGTGAGTCAGAGACGTATCCACCACTCTTTATGCCCCAGGATCTCAATTGCGTTGAAGAAAAGATAAGTGCTTATAAAAGTATGAAACTGAACGATTTTGTTTTGATTAAATAGCTAATATGTTGTTCCTTCTTAATCATTAAGGTTACACACTAGACAATCTACGTATACTGCGTAAGCAATTCCTAAAGCAATGTCTAAGCGATCGCCTAGTGAATGTTACACCGCATGTGCCGAAGTATGAATCGCAATTAATCGTGACACGAATCAGCATWTCGTGTACGTGTCATACGCTACAAAAGGGTCAGGTATGCTCGGAGCTGGACGGTATACAGACGCAGCGTTGGACAGAGTACATGGGCAACGATGGGCACGGTTATTATGCCAACTAGATGTAGTCTTAGTTAAGGAATGCAATTAGGTGGGGGTTGCAGGAAGCACGTCATTTTATGTATGTAAACAAAAATGAGAGAGCACAAATTAAATACCGTTTAATTTAATTTTCCAATTGCACAACAGTAATTTTAATATGTTGTTTAAATTTATTTATAGAAAAGAAGGAGTGTATTTGAGTTTCGGTAAATACCATTTGTAAAAATTAGCAGAACGTCAAAACATTTATGAATGGTGCCAAGCATTTCCATGCTGCTAATTTTTTTTTAAAGAAATTTGCTTCAAGGAGCTCTTGTATGTAATTAAAATAAAWAATATTCAATAAAAAAGAAACAATTTTAAAATATCGAGTAAAATTTTAAAAGGAAATTTGTTTTCGTCTTTTACCACTAATGGTAGAGAATTTTTATTTAATTTCTATTTAGTTGGCTAAAGTTTGTTTATAATTTACCAAGTCTCCAATACATTGAAAAAATTGCGTGTTAACGAATGCATACCCTGCCAGCCAAAAGTGGTGAAAAAACTAGTGAAACASTAGCGTTTGCGTTTATTTTATCAATTCGTCACAGAAACATTAACATAAATTTCTGGTAGCACAGACTGGTAACTAACGTATGCTTAACCGAAAGTGAAATTCCAAATTAACATATGCACATGAATAAGCTTTTAAATGCATTTCATACATATCATATTCATTGTGAATGAYTATTTTGGCTCATTCACCCCCCTTTGACAGCTGTCGTAGCGCACATATTCAAGCCGACATCAACGACGTCGACTGCGCCAGTAGCAAGTAATTTGTAAACCAGGCGTTTAGTGAAAAGTTAATATCACAAAAAATTTATAAATGTCCTGCTAGTAATTACTGTAATYGTTCAGAAATATAGCCGGCAGAGATGGGTATCTTGGAGAAGATCTCTGAAATAGAGAAGGAAATTGCTCGTACTCAAAAGAATAAAGGTAAGTTGGTTAAAAGAAATGTGTGGTGTGGCCGCACTACACAAGTCCATGCACCGCTGACAAGTTGTTTTTGTCTTTTTTTGTGTTGACGCAGAACTGCTTGTAGGTTAACTCTTAACACAAAACAAACAAAATAATTTAAACAAAATTCTTCAGTCAGCTAATATTAAAATTATTTCATTAAATTTCTAGCAACCGAATATCATTTGGGTCTTTTGAAAGCGAAGCTTGCTAAATATCGCTCACAATTGTTGGAGCCATCGAAGAAAGGTGAAAAGGGCGATGGTTTTGATGTCTTGAAAAGTGGTGACGCGCGTGTYGCGTTGATAGGTTTCCCCTCGGTAGGTAAATCTACTTTGTTGTCTACTCTSACCAAGACTGAATCTGAGGCGGCCAATTATGAGTTTACCACACTTACTTGTATTCCCGGTGTCATTGAATATAAAGGTGCTAATATACAATTACTAGATTTGCCTGGAATTATAGAAGGTGCCGCTCAGGTAAATATTAAAGAAATRATCGGTATCTGTGTATTATATTATTTTATTCYTTCCTTATAATTTAGGGCAAAGGTCGCGGGCGTCAAGTTATCGCCGTAGCGCGCACAGCCGATTTGGTCATCATGATGTTGGACGCTACGAAACCGAATGTWCATCGTGAATTGCTCGAACGTGAATTGGAATCAGTCGGTATAAGACTTAACAAACGCAAACCAAACATTTACTTCAAGCAAAAAAAGGGTGGTGGCCTTAGTTTTAATTCCACATGTTCGTTATCGCGTTGTAATGAGAAAATGGTGCAAACTATTTTGCATTCCTTCAAAATTTTCAATGCGGAGGTACTTTTCCGTGAGGATTGTAACGAGGATGAATTCATCGATGTAGTGACGGCAAACCGTGTGTATTTGCCTTGCTTATACGTGTACAATAAAATCGATCAGATTTCAATCGAGGAGGTCGATCGTTTAGCGCGTGAACCGAATTCGATAGTGGTCAGTTGCAACATGAAATTAAATTTGGACTATCTGTTAGAGGCCTTGTGGGATGCGTTGCAGCTGATAAGAGTGTATACAAAGAAGCCGGGTGCACCACCAGATTTTGATGATGGTTTGATTTTAAGAAAGGTTTGTTTAGTGATCGATTATAGTTTGTACTGATTTATGGTAATGATGTTGTTTTCTTTTAGGGTGTCACAGTTGAACATGTATGCCATGCTATACATCGTACACTAGCGGCTCAATTTAAATATGGACTTGTTTGGGGTACTTCTACAAAGTACTCGCCACAGCGTGTAGGCATATCACATATTATGGCTGACGAGGATGTTATACAAGTTGTTAAAAAATGATAAACGCTGATATAGATTATAATATGCGTTGAAATTGTGTTGAACGTTGATTTTGCAGTGGATAATTATAGGCCTTCCATAAAATTCTTTAATTACCCTTATTATTAATTACAAATAATATAAGCATGTTCATAAAATCTGAGAGAAAAASAATAACTTTTATATGCCTTTCTGAAGTGTTGAGAAACTTGCAACGAATAATGAACAATATTGCTTGCTAAATATAAATTATGTCTGCTATGCCATTGCTTAAAAACAATTTAATTTTATTAATACATACGTATGCACACATACAAAAGTGCTAGACGAAACAACTACAACAAAGAAATTGTAAAAGCATGCAAAAATTATTTCAAATTTTTCAAAACGTACTATCTTTTATTCAAAACCATTTGCAAATATTAAGTGATAAYGGTTATATTCCAATTTTTTAAAATCAGTGAAAAATTTAATAAAACAATCTAATTSTCAATTACTCCCATCATTTGGCACCAGCCGTTGCTGTGGTCCCACTTCTACCCGCCGCAGCGGATGCATTGTTAAAACTCTTTCCAAATGCACTCATTGCAGAAATATTGGAAAATGGTGTTGGTCCGCAGGTAATATTTGTTGTGTCCACCTTGCTTTCGGGGTTATCGATCTTTGCGAATACATTTGTAGTATCGCGTAGGCGATATTTTCGCAAGTTAAGATATTGTTCTTTCTGTGTTTCAACTTTCTGGTGCAATTCATGCAAACGGCCGGCGAGCGATATGAAACTCTCGTTTATTTGTCGGAAACCACGCTTTAGATCATCGGGCGACACTGCCTGCGGATTAGTTATTGAGCGCATGTGATGCTCAGTCAGCGCGATTTGCTGCCGAAAATTGATCAAATCCTGTTCGTACTTGGCCACTAAGCCCAGGAAGAATTGAAATGGTGCCGTATTTTCAAATTGTAGCCCAGCGGGCGTATCCTGCGTGCGTTGCGCCATTTCCACAGCCTGTATGGTTTTTGAAGTTTCTTTGCGAAGCAGCTTTATTTGTTTGTAATTTGTGTCTACTGAATTAGAAATCTCCTGGAGCGCCCACTGAATATTGTTTATTTCGTTGGACACATTGGACAATTTCGAAGTGGATGTACGTCCAATATCTGAGGAAAGTGTTTTTTGTCCTTTTATATGAGTTTTAAGCGCGTCGACAGTTTTCGCAATCTCATCGGGCACAATAGTTTCTTTGATCTAATAAAACAAAATCATTAAAAGTTGATTTGATATTTTGATCTAATATTTACTTTGACGCTATCTTGTTTGAGATCGCCTGCTTTAGGTTGCGTTGAACTAACATCAACACCGCCCAGACCAACAAACGGTGTAGCTGTTGCTGTGGTTGAGGTGGCAGTTGGCTTCCACATTCCGCCCGATGCCACAGACGTAGTTGTTGTGCCGAAATTTAAACTAGCYGATGTTGTAGTACCGGCGGGCTTACCAAATGACAAACCACCTCCCAGCCCACTGAAACCGAGCGMCGGAGCTGTTGAAGTCGMWGTACTTGTGGCAGCCGTACCACCAAGTCCACCAAAACTAAATGCGGGCGCAGCACTTGTTGCTGCTGTTGTAGCTGTTCCACCCAAWCCACCAAAGTTAAAAGACGGTGCTGCGCTGMTGACAGCAGTTGCACCGAACGCTGGCGCTGGTGTACCGAAGGTCGGCGCTACAGACGCTGTAGGTGCAGCGCCAAAAGCAGGTGCTGYCGTTGTAGCACTTGCTCCGAAYGGTGCAACGGTTGCCGTTGGATTMCCGGTCGCTCCAAATGCAGGCGCTTGTGCTGTAGTTGTTGCTCCAAATCCTGTAGCGCCAAAAGCGGTTGTGCCTGTTGTAGCACTCGCACCAAATGCAGGCGCTGCAGCAGCTCCAAATGCTGGCGTGCTAGCTGCCGCCGGCGCTGCTGGTGCGCCGAAGCTRAAACCAGCCGCCTGTTGTTGTGACGGGTTTCCAAAGGAAAATCCAGACATATTGACAGTGGTTTTGTCTATTGAATTTACACTATAAATTTAATTATACGATTTTTTTTGTACCTTATACTTTAACAATTTTATGAAATTCTCTTTAAAGTTTTAGCGCGAGCATTTGAGCAAATTCGATGCAGTTGCCAGCTGTTCACAGAAAAATTGTCACTGAGCAATAACTATTGTGAATAAATGTTATTTTTTATGAATAAATGTTATTATGAATAAATGTTATAATAAATGTTATTCACAATAACTGAAAGTCCCAGTAATGGATTTGTTGGTTTAGTTTTTTCAGGATCTTTTCAATAGTAAGGACGTATGTATATACATATATGACGGGTCGGTTGTAGTATACCGTCCCAGTTTTTCGGGAATAAAATGGGTATGGTCGGGAGCTTATAGTTTTCCAGATATTCCCGTTTAAAGTTGAAAATTTCCACTATTTGAAGTACGTATTTTCTCGATATAAATTAAATYTTGCACTTTTATATGACTAAGGTAACATGGCTACATGGGCTTCCTCGAGTATAAAACTGTYTTTTCAAMATTTTTTTT